TTTTTTTCATTGAAATTCCACAAGATATGGTTTCCCCCTTCCGTACGCGCTACAGTTGGCTAAATTTCAGTTAAACAAATGAAAAACAAAAAGCATTCGTACAGTAGAAAATAAAATTCACCCCGTCGACTTGATTGACACCCCAGCATTGCAATAAAAACTTGGTTAATAAAAAAAAAACACCCCAGCATTGCGTGTGGCGCCCTCCCTCTCTTGGGGTGCAGTACTACGATGCCGCTGGGGTCACTCAAACCCCCAGAACTGAGCCTCTACTTTAGACAATCCTCTTTGGGTTAGAGTGTGAGGTGTTGGGAGAGAGATTTTGTTAGGAGAAGTGAGTGCGAGTGAGTTGGATAGATGATAGATATTGAGCTGGAGGGAATAAAGAAAGAGATATGCGCAAAATAGCGTGTGTAGTGGTTGCCGTCGCTTACCGTCGTTTACCGTCGCCTTCGCCTGTCGCATTCGTTTCATCATTGCAAATTCCCATTGGCATTATATACATTTGACACATGAAATTCCAGTGATTATCCTCCCAACTTTTACAGCAACCTATCTCAGAAGCAAAAAGTGTCAACATTGATTGATTGTAATGAATAAACATATGATAGAGAGTGTAATAATGGTGAAGGAGAGAAGGAAGGATTGAGAAACGTGTTTATTATCGTGTGCTGAAAAAAGTGAGCGGCTGGGGCGAGAGTTTGGCGAACGGAACAGCGTGATCGAAAAGAGGGGCTCAAGCGCGCGCGCGGGGGCCCTCAACAGAGGCTTTTTTTCCCCTCCACAAGGAAATAGCAAGAAAGAAAGAAAGAAAGGAAAAAAAAAGTGAAATACGCACAGAATTATCAAATAAAAGATCGACATGCAGTGGTGTACGAGTAATGGGGCATATATCGAAAGATGAGACGTAAATTGAATAAAAATCTTGTTGTAGATATAGAGCGGGCACGTGTTGAGGACATTGCACAGTGAGAAGTGCGTGTTTATCATTTTGTGAGGCTAAATTCTCCCATTGAGGATTCAGTACCGATGAGCCCGGATATATGGCGGCCCGGGTGCTTTTGCTCGGCATCTTGTTTACGGAAGTGCTTGAGCCTCTTTGCGCCGCAGGTATTCTATTTTAAATTGACAATTTTTACAGAGAATTATCCTCCTTCATTTTTTTCCATCAATGAAAGGATATTCAAGCAACGTTAGATTCATCTCCTCCTGCTTTGATTTGTTCGCCCACGCGCGCCGCAGTTGCTCCACGAAAAAAATTATATCTTTTCTCCCCTGGAGGTTTAATATTAATATTTATTCGGTGCGTCACGCAACTGCGGATCGATGGCCAAACAGGACAACCTGTCATTCAAACAATGATGAATGATGATGAAACCTTTTGAGCACGAAAAATTTTCCATTCCGTGTACATTTATTACATGTTGTGTGCATGTTGATCGTTGAGTTAATAAAGCGTAATTCTTATTTTTTATTTTTGTCAACATGTATTTAATTATGAGCATATATATTCAACGGAATGGAGTTTAAAATAGAGGGAATTTGCCAACAGGTGTTAGAGGTCCTAGTAACAATGGGCATGGCAAAAATGGAGCTAAGGGAGACGGCTTAGACGTGCGTTTCAATAAAAATTCAGATCTAACGCTGAGAATTGAGCCAAGGGGCGATATAGTTCTTGGAAAGCGTGGTATCACGTTGAGTTGTTTAGCTAGCAACAATAATAACATAACATGGCTCTATAATGATAGACCTGCACCACCTTGTGGTATTACCCGATGTGGATTGTTGGACGATGGTTCATTACATTTTTATAAAAAACAAAATTTACAATTGGCACAAAAGCCAAGAGAAGGATCTAGCACCAAGACTAAGCTACCTAAAAAGCATGTGTACCGTTGCATTGGTCACACCATCGGTGGATTGTTACGATCATCACCAACGACTGTACAAATTGCCGGTATGGTTATTGGTACCATCACCAAGAAATGTCATTTCTTATTAATATCAAATCAAATAAAAATGTATTTTCTTATTTTTTAGAGCTTGGCCATACCTTCAAAAGATTTCCCAACGATTTGACAGTTGTGGAGGGGGAAATTGCTAGATTCTCATGTCTAATTGATAGTGTACCGTTTCCTCCAAACATTACCTGGCAACATAACGGAGAACCTGTATTAACGGATCACAATAGCACTAAGTGAGTTTTTCTCACTGATGAATTAATATTTTATTTGTATTTGCCACTAATGAATATCATAAAAATAATTGACTGTTTTCCATTATTTCAAGATATTTCACGGTACCACCTGGTGTTCTTTATATTACTGCAGCAAAACCGTCTGATGCTGGTTCATATAGGTAATTACTCGTTTGACAGAGATTTCAAATATAAAAATAAAATTTCACTATGCCTGGATATTTCCGTACTTTCCAGATGTGTTGCGACAAATGATTTTATAAAAAAGACCAAAAAGAGTAAAGAAGCAAAACTCACAGTTATTTCAAGATTAGAGAGTAATGAGACTAGAACTTCAGGATTGCTTTATCCACAAATGTCATACAATCATTCATTACTGAATGGATCGAATCTCAAGGTTATTTGCGCGGCCAGTGGCCATCTACCACCATCAATCACTTGGTATTTCGTACCAAAATACTCAGGTAGCAGGAAAATATGGCGTGATAGTATTCATTTATATGTGCTCTACATATTTTTTCATCATCTCACGTTTATGTCTCAGATGAAAGGAACACTGTGCAGAATCGCATTCTTCTCAACTCGACAACTGGGATCAGTGTACTCGCATTGCAGAATGTCAGCATTTCTGACGCTGGTACTTATCTGTGTTCCACGAAAAATCCACTCAGCAGTCATTTGAATATTCAGGTATTATGAGAATTTTTATTTTTTGACACTTAAAAGGAATTGGTCACTATCAATTGTATTTCAGAATATTACCGTTGACGTTGTCGTTCCACCTGTGTTGATAAAAAAACCGGTAAATCAAATATGTCCTAATGGAAGAACAGCGAGATTCGAGTGCCAGGCACACGGCATTCCTCCGCCTCAAATTTATTGGCTCAAAGATTCCGAGAATATTGCTATGAATGGACGTAGAACAACTTACATAAAAGAAAATAACAAGATAGAATTGGCGATATCAGCGACGGTACCATCGGACTCTGGTATTTATGAGTGCGTTGCAGTGAATTCAGCTGGTGAGATTTGGGCCGCTGGTCGGCTTCAAGTTAATTCATCTCGTAATAGTCCAGCTACACCAACTTTACTCAAATGCCACTCAGATTCACCATTTAAAATTGAAATATCATGGGTACCACCAAAATCTTTACCATCTACAAGTATTACAGCGTATACCGTCCATTATAGTCCTGCCGAAGGTGGTAAAGAGGAGGTATGCCCTGAACCTGGCAATTCAACATCAGTCCAAGTAACCAAACTACTTGAACCGTATACTAATTATTCATTCTACGTTCGAGTGTGGAATAATCATGGAGCTAGTGATCAATCAGAACCGATTGTTTGTGCCACTGCACAGAGTGTTCCAAAGAGCGCGCCTACAGTACACGTTGATATAATAAGCAGTACAAAATTGAATGTAACGTGGGAGCCTTTAACAAAGAGAGAAGCTAGAGGCGTTGTCATTGAGTACAAAATCCAATGGAGGCTCCATGAGCACCCATCATCGCGGGTGATTACTGTACCTGCTCATGTCGAGAATTATATTCTAACAGATTTATTGCCTGGGTCACAGTACGATTTGAGAGTTTTAGCGAGAACACAATTGGGATGGCCCAATATCAGTGAATCCCAATTGATATGGACCAGTGTTTCCACGTCTACTGTCAATGCAGATCAACTCAATATTAAGAATATTATTGACATTCAACTTGTCGCATTGAATGCTTCTAGTTCTAAGATTAAATGGCAGTGGAAATTCAATAGAGATAATTATTCAGCATTAAAATTTGATGCCTGGCAAGTGTATTGTGAAAATATCGACGGTGATAGAATACTCACTGAAACATTGCCAACAAATTTTACAAATTATACCTTCACTAATTTGCGTAAGTATTTTTCATTATTCATTAGTAAATTTCGAAATTTCTAACTCATTTGTCTCCTCAGATCCAAATGTTTCGTATATCCTTGGTTTGTGCACTGTAAGCGACGGGGTAACAACTGATTGTGTATCGAAAACAATAAAATCTATCTACCACGACGCAGGTAAATTGAAAGAGCTCTTCTTCTAGCAGAAAAAAAAAACAAAATTTAATCATTTCCACAATCATCCAATATTTTTGTTTGATTTTTCATTATAGAAAATATTCCGATGGCTCTAGAAGCAATTCCACTCTCATCTTCATCAATTCAAATAACCTGGACATCATTGCACACAAATTCAAAGAAATTTGAAATTTGCTATCAACCAGTAGAGTTACCCACAGTAGAAGCAAAATGGTTGTTAGTGAATGGTACCAGAGTAACAGTGAACAAATTAAAAGCATTTACACTTTATCAATTTAAGGTGCGATCATTTGAAAATGATTCGAGACAGCTGAATGCATTCAGTGAGAGTATAGAGTGTTATACAAGTGAGGATGTACCAGGCAAACCTGAGCAAGTTGAGAGTTTCAGGGATGGTACTAAGATACGGGTCGTTTGGCGAAAACCAACGCAGACAAATGGAATAATTCGGCATTATTTCGTATCATATGTGTCCGATTCAACAGAGTCAATGATTTGGGGTAATGTAACAGTACCTGGTAATCAAACGTGGGCCGTCTTACCAGAATTTTCAACAGGTGGACGGCACTATGTAATGATTCAGGCAGCGACGAGAGTTGGATATGGGAGACCCTCTGATGCAGTTCTGGTTTTTACAAGTCCCAGCGTATCAAAAAGTCCAAATTTTTCCAATGAACATAAACCCCCCGTGATCCCGAAACCAGATCAAAGTCTCGGGGTAATACTCGGCGTTGGTATCAGCATTGGATTCATTATGATAAGCTTGTGCAGTATATACTGTAGAAAACGATGGGAACACTCTCGATCGCTCCGAGAGACAACGCAACCTCTTAAGAATCGAGCTCTTTTGAGAAATGGCAATGCTTGTTGTGTCGATAGATCCTTAACTTCAGTCAATCAACAGGCCATTAATGCTAATATGAATTGTAATGAGATTGAATTGGCCACTCTGTGTCCGTCGTCACCAACTTCAACGAATCCCCAGCCCGATACCAAGGTAACATCCTCATATTATACTGCTTTACATTCCAGTTGTCAAAAGAAAGACACAAAAAGGAATATATTATTTTCTATTTTGCAGGGAATTCAATCAAATGGTATTGTGGAGGGCAAACAACCTCTTTTGACTTCTTGGAATAATTCAAGTGAGGATCAAATGAATCTTCATATCACCGAAAATCCTCAGTACGAGCGGAAGAGCATTCCACTATCCAATATAGAACCAATCGAGAATCGAGAGGTAGATTTAAATACAACAGAATTCACTTTGATGGAGTGTACATTAGGGGGCAGTACTAGTAGTTTAAATAACAACCTCGGTTGCACCACATCAACACCACACAAAATTACACCAATAACTGTTCCCGTATTGGAGCCAAATGGTTGAACTTTGCGATCTACTTTTGTAAGAAGAAAGCATCATTAAATCCATTGAGAGTAAGTGAATCAAGATATAGTTTCGGGGACGTATTTGAAGCTCAGGGAGATGGAATTACTCACTGCTTGAAAATATCCTATCATCCAAAAGTTGAAAAATGGTTGCTATGAGAGATGTGAGGTTTATTCTCAATGAGTAATGAAACAATCAAAAGGGAAACTCGAACATTGGGATGGGAATGAAATAATGGTTATGAAACAAATATAGAAAGTATCTTAGTTTTTTAAAAAAAAAAGTAAAGAAGAAAAAAAAACATGAAAAAGACGAGAAAATTTCACAGTATACTCATTAACGTGTATATATTAGATATTTTAGGCGTACAATGATAAATAAGCAAATAGTTTGTATGCCTATCCGAATCACCCGGAATAACAAGAACATGAATTTGAAAAATCTCATATTAACAAATCATGCGTTCGTTGACGCAACCGAATGTGAACAAGAATATATTTGCTCACAATTATGAATTTTCACTTTTTAAGACAAGAGTGAAAATTTGCGCTTGAAATTCGCAATGTGTAAGTAAGAATTTCAAAAAGTACACAGGTTTTTGTAGAGAAGAGTAATTGCCGTATAAAAAAAATGTCATTGTTGTAGGGAGCATTGGTCATTTAATAGCTGTTGATGGTAAATATGAGAATAATTTCAATTTTGCTCTATATATATCAACAAAAGATAGGAGGATTAGGGGCGTATTGAAACATCATGCAATCGTGTTATCACTCTACTCTCGGGAACAACCGACAAACTGAACAGTACATTCCATTAAAGCCATGGGCTCCATAATCAATTCAGTATGATTGGCCACACTAGCTTTTATTTAATTCGCTTATAGAGAAATGGAGATGTTTCACTGATTTTCCCTTTTACATAGTGTTTCGCAAATCTAGTTCTTTTCCTTCCCAACACATGATGTTAGTTTCAATTCTCGCGATTGCTTTTCATTTATTAATCTATTATTACATCTGATTTCACATACGAAATATTTTAGTTAATAGACAAAATGAGTATTTCGATTGACGAAAGAGTCTCCTGGTAGGTAGAAAAAATTATTGAGCAAACGGAACACAATCCAGACATATACCAGACTGGCCCATGTTACCATGACAGAAAACCCAACTCAGTACCTGATAGACTAAGTTATATTACCTTATGTTTTTTTAACTGAACGATGTCAATGTTATTGCAGTACCTCCATTTGTTGTTATTTATTACATCATTACATTCAATCATTGATTAACTAGGTTTTTCTTTTGAAGCACGGCAATAGAAACTGTTCTACAACTGTTTCATTACTTGACTACGTTTCCTGCAAGAAATTATTATATACTCATAACTCCACTAGTTACAGTCAAATTATATTCCGAAAAAAAATAGAACAAAGTATTTATTTCACTTTTACCATAAAATGCAATAGTTTATATGAAGATTACAGATCTTATTTTTTCTTTTACTTTTTGTTATTCAAGCATTATCCCATGATTTAACTCATTTCCATTGTTATTAGTGATTTAATTATGATTGAATGTTTTTTTTTGACTGTACATATTGTTAACTATTCATGGTCCATCTCCGGTGATTTCCATATTTTTAGAAGAAGAAACTACCGAAACCCAGTGAACGATGATGTTTGGCTCTTGTTTGATTTCACTAATATGACTTTATTTATTTATTTTGCTGGAGATAAAAGCAGAGGAAGCATTAATTCAAAATTATTCATTGTAATGAAATATCCTTGAAAATAATGCGCAATGTCAAGACTTGTTATCAACGTTTCTCGCACGAATATTTAATGAGACGTTCTCATTTCTGTCACTATGTCTTCAGTTGTCTGGATTGCAAAATGCAGTTTTCAAAATCGAGAAAAGTAATTTTTTAACTTACAGACTTACGTAGAAATAATAATCATTCCACTTGAATTGACCAGTGATTTTATTTCTAAATGTTTCATAAGAATTATGTTAGTTTTTATAAAATATCGTATAATAACATGCAGTTTTAAGTTTGATGTTACTGTTTTTACTTTCATTTATGATACGCATTCTACAGATAAGGCTTAGTGCCAGTAGTGTGATAACTCGGACAGGAGAAAATAATGGATTTACGCTTACCAAAACTATTATAATTTTGTTAAAAATTGTACTCTAGATGATTTTCTTTTTCTTCATTTCGCCCGGATTAGTAGCACGGTTTTGATAGACCACATGTACAACCGAGAAATCATATTTCATCGAATAATTTATTCCAACTAGAATATTTTATCTTTATTGCCAGAGAATATGAGAAGCTTTTTTTTATTATTATTATCATCATCAATTTATAACTTAATTATCATGTATTTGAGGATTATTATTATTATTATTAATATTATTATCATTATTAATATTATTATTGTGATAAGTTGAAAGATGCTATTTCCATCGGTAGAAAAGAGGGTCGTCGTATCGAAGTGAGCTTCGGGCTTTTGTAAATCACGGGAGTCGCATATTTTCAAGTACAAATTTATGTGGAAAAATGAATCGCGTGCTTCCGTGTTATCTCAATGTTCCCAACTATTCTGGAGCATCGTACGAATTTCGATTGTATACACATATATATATCATATCAAATACGCGTGGAAAATAGAAATGATTAAACAACGATGATACACTGCACTGACTAAGCTTTTACAAAAGAAATGAAAACCGCTCATAGACTTATACATATTATAGGACAGAAGAAAAATTATGTAGTTGGTCAGGAACTCGATGTAAATTTTACCAAATTTTTAATGAAAACAGTCTGGCGAATCCACATGATAAAATATAATGTACCGTGATGATTATAGTTCGTGGATTTCCCCAGTTTCTCCAGATCTGGACAAGCTACTGCCTTTTTCAATGCATTTATACACTCCCTAAATCTCAGACGCTGCATTCAATAACATGGAATGGAAATTATTCCAACGATTCGCGCGTTAGCCATAGAAGCATTAAGTATTATAATTAATAAATCGTACGGCGACTCTAGTCGAACGAATATACCTCTTTACAGTGTCACTCTCAGTTTAAATTATTTGTTCAGGGTGCTCAGAAATTACTTAATCATTTGAAAACTTAAATGTAGTACCTATGGGATGATTATTCTTTTCCACTGCTTACCTCAAAAAAAGAGATACCTATTTTATATTTTGGGCGTTTAGATTTTCCATCCATTATCGCGGCGAGATACAAGATAAATAAGAATTCAAGTACTCGTATACAGAACAAGTACCGAAAATCCTTTCTCCTCTTTATCGTAACTTGAAAATGATTTTAGTGGCTTATCATAGAAATTTGTTTTTTTTTTTTGTATGAAACTACGTTTTGGGTAGTTTTTTTTTCATTCATTATTGTATATCAAGTATGTGTAAAAAATTGAAAAACAAAAAAAATTGGAAAAGAAAAAAAATGAGAAAAAATATTGAAAGTATATATTTTAATATATTGTATATAATTAATTGTATTGAGACTACAATAAATTATAACCATACTGTTTAAAACTGAAGTATTAGAGGGTGGAAGAGAGAAAAGAAGAACAAAAGAGAAAACAATACACTAGGAGCTATATTTAATGATGTTGTTGACCTTTTGAAATGCAGCATTTCGTTGTAATGATTGAATAAAGTTAAACAATATATAACTATTTCAGCTTCTTAGATCCCCCCCTTTTTTTTTATCAATAATGTCTATGAAGCAACTTTATTATCAAAATATCAAGTAAGAACGATAATACAAGTACATTGCCCAATAAGTAGAATAGAATAAGTACGAAACATGATAATTCATACAGATACAACTAGTATTAATTCCTTCATTATGCTCATTTATGGAAGATTGCTACTTAGCGTAACATTTATCATCACAATTCATTTAAAATCGATTCGCTCATTAAAAACGAAAACACGATAATTGGTAACAATTTTCATGACTCATAGTCAACTCCTTGTAAAAGACTAATTCTGATGTCATCTCTTAATATTACACTCGCTTGGAATGTCAAGCTAAATGCACTAGGTCCATTATTCAGTATAAAAAAAAAATATTTTCTCCGTATTCCTAAAAAATCGTAACAAATTTTATTTTTGTTTTGCTTTTTTTTTTTGAGAAAAGTCTACACCGAAAATTTCCCGTTGGTATTAAATCGTTGCATCAGATTTCGGCAGGCCAGATATATTTGACTAGGATAGCCTAGCGTTAGACTAATTAATTGAGCTCGTTGCAATGATTATTCATTATTCATTAAGTACATATATTTTTCCCGTATCACATTGTACCGTTAAGTCTCTAAATATTCATGTAAATCGCTCTTAGATGATTTTCAAATTCTGTGAGAGCGCCGATATACGCAATACGTTTGAATTCTACTCGTGAAAATCCAATAGTTTTTGTATCATTAGGCACAAAGTGAATTTTTTCTACTTAGTTCCGTGTGGCGATCGTGTCTTGGTGAATATTTTCCAAATACCGTGTGGAGTATTAGGAAGATGTATCTTTCATAATATCAAGGAACGAGGAAAGACCTTCATCGATGCATAATCGTCCAAGACCTCTTTGAGAGCTGCTTTCGTCGGTTTAGGATAATCATAAGTGAATCCGATGTTGGGTAATTTTCCAATTTCCAAGTAGAGATGTTTGTTATAAAGCAGTTCTTGATCAATATACGGAGATAAGGGACTATTCTGTATTCCATCTTGATTGCAAATCTCTGCCCATGGCCCCATGTGCTTATCATTCACTTCCTCAACTACAGAATTCATATCCGTTTTAGCCAAAGTGGATAAAGCGGTTCCCCAATAATCATGATTAATATTGAACAGCTCCGAAACTATGGCACTAATTGAGCCCTGTGTAGAATCAGCTTCGTCGACTACATTGTAAGTTTGACCAATAGTGTCATCCCTATTGGCCACATACCATATCGCTCGAACAAGATCCCTAACGTGGACAGTGTTCATGTGAAGATCCGGTCCCCAGAGAAGCTTCATCATTTCCCCCAAGTGTTTGTAAACAGCCCCGACAACCAAACGAGGTACTAAACACATCAAATATAAAATATAAATGAAATATAAAAATACATCAATTATTGATAGATGTCTAGTAGTTTCATATGCGGGTGGAGTATCAGTACAAGAATAAAAGTGGATAATGTGAGTCGAGAGGGACATCGAGTATTGATGACCATCTACGGAAAGAGCGGCAAAGGCAAGATATTTAACTGCTCTTATGCAAATAGAAAAAAATACGCAAAATAAACATATGGAAACACGGGCGAACGTTTGAGTGAAATTCTGCCGAGGGAAGGGCGGAATGCAAGGAGCTGTGTGAATCTACTACATCATTACTAAATTATTTTATAAATAATCCATCATTACTTAATCCATTTTTATCTCCTGGCCCATATATTATTGCTGGTCTTAAGATAGTATACTTCAAATCCACAATTTTTTTCAAGTCGTGTTCAACCTGTAATTTGTATTTTGCTACATATGTCCAGGGATCTGGGGTGTCGTTCTCTTTTAAGGGTGCCTAAAAATGATGATTAATTATTTTTAATATCCAGAAGGTTAGGTAAAATACAAGGGGATACCTTTTCGGATGAGCTCATATTGCCCGATGACAATTCAACATATCGTTTAACACCAAGGTTGGCAGCTTGTTGGGCGCAATTGATGCTTAATTTATAAATGCCTTCTTTATAAACAGGATCGGTTTGGCCACTTTTCGTCTCCCCGGCACAGTTGAATATGAAATCGATTTGGTCATCGCAGGCGAATGCATTTTGATAAGAACCTAGAATCCAATGAGTATCAAATGATTGGCTACACGTAATTTTACAATTAATTGAAATTGACAGAATACCTGGATTTATAAGATTAGCACTTCGAAATTCAACCAATGGATTTTCAAAGATTTGTTGATGTTTATGGTTAAGCCAGGCCGTTTGCGGAGGTACTTTATCAATGATACGCAAAAAAGAGACCAGCTCGTTTTCAATTAGGTAAGACACAAGATTTCTCCCAATGAAACCACATCCTGCCGCATAATAATTTTTTTTATTACAAAAAATTTTAAGTAATTAGAAGAAAGTAGAAAAAATTTCAATGGAAAAAAATGTAGGAATGCAAAAAATTTCGGAATCGAAGTTTAAATTGAAATTTTAATATTATTTACCCCCTAATACGATGACACTGGGCTTATTATCATTCTTGGGAGTTGCCATTATGAATTATCATTGAATGACAATCGGAGAGAGTTTTATATTGAGACGTAAGGCTTCCTCCTCCCACCTGACCACCAGTTTGTAAAATAATATCAATTCTTATATGTGGTATCCTAATCACTTCACTCGTATCTTTCAATGTTGAAGGAAAATTATACTCGCAATTGGTTATTATTGTATGAGCAGAAGCTTATGCTTAAAAATTAACATTTGCCCTTCCGCAGGAAACTGCCAGTGATAAGAACAATTGGGATGCAATGAAATTCCACTCGACAAACCCAATGAATCTGCATGCCTTATTAGAGAGGCATGCATGCAGAAAATTGAAATATTATGGTGGATTAATTCGTTGTTATATACCATGAAGAATAGAGACCTCTATTCTTCATGTTATATACCGAGGGCCGCACGTGATTTCAGAATAAAAATCGCAACCACAGCATTCTACACTAGTGGCGCCAGAACTCATATAAATATGTGCCTGTAGTACCACTGTCAATAAAGGAGTTATCATTTGGTAATACAAGCGCTGCCGCTGAAATTTCCGGTTTCAAATGCATTTGCGAATTTTTTATGAGAATGATAATTGATGTTTCGATAATTACTCATTAATCACCTCCTCATATAAATCCTCTGCGATATCTTCATCTGGAGGTGCTATACATTCATCTACTAGATACCTATATCTTGCAGTCATTTATATTCAACGGTCCATGCCCAACAGGTAGAAATTGGGCAAATTCAATTTGTTTTCATAAAGAATGCAAATTCTCTGGCAGAGCGAACTGTCAATCGGCGTTCATGAGGCGATTTGACTCGATATGAGAATCGTGTAAAATCCGTCGCACTTGTATTGAAATATACTATTTCTGCAACATTCGCGTGCTTTCGTCAGGAAAAATTTTTGGCTTTACCAATTTTGTAGGTAGGGAAAATTGGCGACAGCAGGAGATACCACGCCCTCGAAGTGATAAAGGCAGTAATACCATATGGTATCCATAGCAACGGCTGCTAAGTGAGCGGTACCGAATGGAAAGGGATATTGGCTATGGCCAAAGAACCGGGCATCTGATCACCATAGACTTTTCTTGATATTGCTACATTACCCTTAACATTATGCCACATTACTTTTTTTTTCAGCTTTCATAAAAACGCGACTCAAGACGGTAATAGCCAGTACAACATCCTGGAATGTTATAAAGTATCAAATATATTGCTTTTTCGTACCGTCGGAAGTCACAATTCATCTTTACAAATAATTTCATGAAAATAGAGAACATCTTCGCAAAGTGCAAGTTCACCTAGGGTAATTATTCCATAATTCGACAGATCATTATTCAACGAATTTAGTAGAATCGGAATTGTAATTATTTCTAAACCCACCGATCGTTTCATCATCCTATTTCTTATAAAACTCAATTCCAAAAATAAAGGTGGTTATTTCAGAATTTAATTGATTCAGTTGTACATCTTGGTGATTTTTTTTTTTTTTTATACAGGTCGAAATAAAAAATGCCCCGAGTCTGGTAAAATGTACCATTGCTAGTAAGTTCTTGGAATTTTTTAATACAACGGCAGGAGAAAAATTTCTTGCGAGTCAGCGTATCGAAGGTGGATAATAAATACTGTTGTATTTTCTTGTGCATGCGGTTAGCTACGGTTATTGCGATGCTACCTATTTTTACAACCCCAATCTAATTTTGTAGAAAAATACAAAAGGTATTTCGATATTTTATATACCTACCTCCGAAGGAGTATATGCTGGAAAATATCCAGGTAATAAAAAGTTGTCCACAATTTTTTAGGAATTGGACGACGGTCACGTACTTTTGAGTATATATTATACCGACACTATTAGATGGGAAAAATAAATTTAATTTATTCTGGCAAATTGTGACAGGATATTGGAGAATAGAAGTTAGAGATGTGAGGATCACTTTAACGAGATTAATCGAGAAAAAGCTGACGTTAATATTTGAGGAAGGAGCTCGGAAATGTGCGCCATTACATTTCTTACGACTTACGAGGGATGTTGAAATGCGTGTGGCACCCTAGTTGGTAAAAAGTTGTTGAGGGTGGCCGGAGATTGAGAGGATTGGCTGATTCACTAGGGAACTGGGGTGCTACCGTTACGCAGTTCCTTCTAACAATCTCACCCCATTGGCTCCTGGCCCATAATCTCACCCCAGTCCCCCTAATAACACTGCTTTACAACCACCTCCCCAACCAGTATCTTTCTGCCCTATCATATATCTTTCGTCCTTACCTCCGAATCCATAAAACAGCCATCCTCACGAGATGATGTCGCGCATTCCGCACAAACCCACCTCCTCTATAAGTCTATATATCCAATTCTCTGACCCTTACGTCGCTATCCTTTTGCCTACCTAACACACCATCCTTTGTTACCCCCTTGTAAATTAAACTACCGACCTAACAATTCTCAATAGCAGTATGGCAGTATAGCAGAGCTATCGCTATTCACGTACTCAATACCGAGAAAGAATCAAAGAACTCTGTATACCAAATCAATATATCCAACCAACTGTCGGCTCATGAAAAAATTCACTTTCTTCAACTGAAAAACCTCTTCTATATTAGATAACTGCCTCCTCGTGACCTCATTAACTCCCCACAAACTCCACCAAGTCCCTCAATTAAAAAAAAAATCATTCAAATATTATTAATTATTATTTGGAATGACAAATCTATTCATACCACAAACCATCACTCCAAAATTTGTGACAAATCGGACTATTCTTTTGGATATAACGCGCCCAAGTTTCACGCGGTCAATAATCACCACTCTGGCAATTTTCCGAATAATTAAATACTTTAGCATTTTAATCTTAATTGTAACGAGAATGAACTCCATTTTAGAAATCATTTTTTTTTCTCAGTGTGAATCAATTATTTATTCATTACAAGTGACTTTCCATGAAACCACATTTGAATATGTGTTGATGAGGTGCCATGGGCGAATTATCAAATAAAAATTCATAATTGTACTATTTTTTGTTGAGTATAATTGTTGCACCCAGGCGAAGATGGTGCACCACGCCCTTATAACGCTGTGCCAGCCATATCTGAATCGTATCCATAGCAACCCTGCGAATCAGAGATTGAGGGGTGGTTTGCGCGAGGGTTGGCCAACCCTCAGCGGCATTTTTCCATTCAACATATCAACTCTACTTTATATATTTTTAATAAAAAAAATGCAAAGCTTCTGAAACGAATTTTTCGCATGAAATTTGTAATGAGATATTTCCAAAAAAGTTTATTCATTTAAACTTCAATTTGTACTGAAGTGGGAATCCCCCAAGTAGCTCTGTCTTCAGTAATAATCGGATTCATCTTGAGAATAAGTTTTTCAACTTGGATATTATCGAATGCGCCCGAAGCGATTTCTTCAATCCGATTCATAGTCAAATCCAACTGCCGACATTTCACACCGCGGAAATCTTCAACACCAATTTTTTGAAGAGAATTCTGGCTGAGATCCATTTCATTAGCAGTTAAACCATTAAAAGCTTGTGATTGCAGCTCTTCAATTTGATTCTTGTGGAGAATCAAGGTATTGATTGTAAGCCCATTGAAGGACTCTGCAGAGATTTGTTGGATATCGTTGAGCGAAAGGTCCAAAGTTGTGAGATTCAATCCATTGAATGCTCTAGGTTCAATAGTTTCAATCATATTCTGTTGCAAATAAAGTTCCCTCAAAGATTTTAACTTTTCAAATAGAGCGTGAGGAATTGTGCGTAAAGAGTTGGCGGTCAATGAGAGTGTGTGCAATCGGGGAACATTATCAAACATTGTGCTCGATAAAGACATTAACTTGTTCCAATCTAATTGAAGTTCGATCAAAGCTGGCACATCTTGAAGTATTATTGGCTGAAACTCATTGACACCGAAAGAGCTCACCAAAATTAATTTTTTCAAATGATTTAATCCCTGAAATATACCGGGAACGGCCTTGATTGAATTAATACTGAGATTTAATATTTCCAGTTCACTCAGTCCATTGAAACAGCCAGGCTCGAGACTACCGATATTATTCCTATTCAAATCAAGGTTCTGCAAATTCTTCATGGATAGAAATGCATTGGAATGAATGACTTGTATATAATTATCTGCCAATGACAGTTCTAGCAGATTCGACAACGACGACAATATTTCCGTTGGCACATCATTGATTCCACAACTTTTCAACTTGAGCATTGTCAGTGATTTGAGGGGAGCTAATGGATTTCCAGTGAAGTTCAGATTAGCGTTTTTAATTGATAGACTGATTAAGCTGGATAAATCATCAAAGGAATCTGGTTGCAGCGATAGAGAACAGTTGGGCGATCTATCATATAAGCCATCGGTGCGGAGATTGATGTCTATGCGGGTTATATTCAACTTACTCAATGCTTTTGAATTAATCGAAATGTTGTTATTAATTTTCAAACTAAAGTATGTGCTGGGAGCGGTCTCGTCGATATGTGTCACATTTGTAATGACACCGAATTCTTGGCAGATATTAAAATTCTGTCTTTTGTCGTCGTCATCCTTTCCATGAGCTGACAAAATGAATAAGAGTACCGTAATTTTAATAGCCGCAATCATGCCTCAATTGATGTACAGACGCACTAATCACTATTTATCCGTCTTTAATTAAATCTGGTACACGACTGCTGAAGATTATCAATCAATATATTATGTCCGTGAGATTATTTCGCATCAACATTGGCCTCTGACCTTATTTACGTCAAGCATTTGAGAGATTGAACATTTCCGTTATATATTGCCTAGATAAACGAGAATAGTGTATCTTTATAATACTGAAAAGGGGTAATAAATGAAGGAAATTAATATTCGTTACAATAGTATATTATTCTGGTTTTCAATTGGGAATAATGATTTATAGCAAGGGAACAAATGGTTGAACCAACATTCAATAAATGGGCTATCCAAGACTAAACATTTCCTGTGAAACTACAGTCGATATATCATCAAGTATTTCCATCCTTACCCATGGCTTTCAGGAGCTTTGAGCGACATCTGTTGAATTTTGTGGACCCGACCTTGGGAAACAGCATCGATCCTTAGTCCTCATCTGGTAACACATCTTTCTACTTATTTTCTGTTGGTATTTGAGATATCTTTCTCAAGTGAGAAGATAAAATGCATCGATAAGTAATGAAAAACTCAATTAATACCATGTACATATATTATTTTGATATTTTTTTCAAAATGGATTCTTCAATTTGGAAATAAATTTTTGAACGTTAAATATTTTAATATTCTGAATATCAAATTTTTCTATTCTGTAATTCATTTGATCTTTAATTTTTCAATGATTCTCCTTTATTTTTTCTCCGCCTGTATGAAATTTCGTGAGAATAGTTGGAAATTGTTTGGGAAATTTCGGCACTTCTTGGGATTTTTTTCTCGATGTGCTAACGAGGAGAACCAACATGTCTATCGAAAGGCTGTCCGTCGGAGTGCGAACGGCTGTCAGTATGAGAAAGGTGCTTCAACCATTGTGTTTAAAAAATTCAGGCAGAATAAAATCATTCTATACATAATCGCGAGAGTGATAATTCTTGGCACAGATAAACAATAAAAAATTGGAATGTTGTTGCCATTAGCCACATATTGGACGCATCCTGAGGAGGTTCATCAGCAGGCGAGTTAACATTTTTTATTTATCACGGATGAGAAATTAATGTTGGGACAATTGTTTAGCGAATTTAAGGATGATTTGCGCGAATGGTATCTCGTCTACCATTGGACAAGTGGAAACGCGTGCGCCTGATGTGTACATAGCTATTAAGTGCTTACATTTATGCCTGTCATAATTGGCTTCGTTAAATGAAGAGAGTGGTCGAGGAATTAGCTTGGTGGTAATAACGTGGCTATTTATTAACACGTGAAACGAGACATGAGTAAGTTGAGCAGTGGCAAGCTACCTCGTACTGTACTACCTACGCTTGTTGCTTTTATTTTGACTGTGCGTTAAATTGAATCTCAGCTATTGAGGGAAATATATTTGAATTTTTAATGGAACTAGGTACGTAAAAGTAGAGAAGAATCAGTAATACCATAAAAAAATGGAAAATTTTTATAAGCTAGGCGGGTAGAAACGGTGAAATCTTTCGTTACGCTTGGATTTTTTTGAAAAGAGATGCGCCGAGGAAATTTGTGCTGGTGAGGCTGTAAAAAGGGTGGTAAAAAGGATCTAGTCTCGATTTCTCTTGATGGCAGACGAAAAACTTGTGAGGAAATGACAAAAGAATGGAAAGCTGGTGACCGGGTGAGGAATGAATTGAATGTTTTTTCTAATTTCGAGAAACTCTTAATAGACCACCATGTAAGTGGTCAGATGATTCGCTGGTATTTCATTGGTTGATTGTAATTATGTAAAAATATGCAAAAACAAGTGGAAGAAGGATAAGGAATGAAATTTCACAGGAGGAGGGAATTGGACAGGCCATCTTATGGTATTAAAAATAAAGAAGCGGTTAAATTTACTCTTGGTGGAAATTGATGCCACCTCTTCCATTACAACTGTCTTGGACACCGGCCTCTAACCATTAACGTAGTCAAAGGTGATTTAGGGCCGTGTTGTGGTCCTGCAGTGCTATATCACACGCATCTCCCATATCTTCGCCATGAGAGAGATTCTATCCACCTTCTATCCTGCGTATTTTTCACTTTGATCCTTTCTACTGGTGGCATATATGACATACCACAATCCACTTGAGATAATCACGCTGCGACGGAGATAGGTCACAGAGACAAACCCTCCACATTTCGCCCTAGCTATTTATCTGTGGAGGTGCGTAAGTCGCCAACCATCTACCTGTCCTTTCAGCTATACCTCCACCAAGCCTGCTATTATGTAGATAATAATGGTGGAGGCATAAATATTCACGCTGGTAACGGCCATAAATGCTACCGTCGCCAGTAATATATACCAAAGCCGTCCAGAGCGTGAAAATGGACGTTGCAAGTCGTTATAATATTCCTCTTTCCGATCCTCTGCGTGAATATATATGCAGAGCCATTGAATGATGGATAAATGTTTTAAACCATCGTGGAGAACATTACACCATTACAACATTACAAAATTGTGTACAGCCAATAGCCACCACCATCATCACTATACTTTTAAACACTTTTTCGCAAATTATTGAAAAATCTTAGTTTTTTATGATTTCTGGGGAATAGCCATACTTAAATTCACTTGAAACATTTGTGAAGTATTTTTTGATTGGCCGGTTTGGCCTTTTTGGATTTTTTGGAATTTTGTGTTGGCGGAATGAGGAACGAGTAAAAGTATCGTTTAAAACGTTTCCTCCATTTGTGCTGAGTCGTAATTCTCGGCGTACACGATGGCACCAAAGTGCCACTCGCCAGCAGATAAGAGATATAGAGTGAAGGCCACTTGCCAACGTTGACAATTATCAGCTCGTGAGATCGCCTCGTTCCCTTCAATTTATTATTTTTATTCTCGACAATCCACCTTTCATTATCATCCTCGTCAATATGTTTGACACTTACCCTTCGCGATAAGCCTACCCTTTATGTTAATCAGAATGAATTTTGGAGGGTGATTCAAAAAAATATTTAACTTGGAGGAAAAAATTTCCATTTATCTCAATGGGAAAAGAAAAAAATCTGGAAAAAAATCTGGTCTGGAGGGGCACTCACATCGATGATGATGGATAAAATCATTCAGTCAGAATACATATCCGTGGGTGGGATTATTCCTTTTTAACCGTCGGATATACACCAAACCATCACCTCTGAGGATGTACGTGGGAGTGGCGAGGTATCCCCTCGGAGTAATTGGTCCAGCTTGTTCTCAACTCAACACATAAATACTCCCTGGAATCGTTATTTATTTTTTTTCCCTCCCAATGTTCTGCTCACAAAATGGTTGAATCCATTTGACCAATGATAATCGGATGGGAGAAAAAATAGCAGGAAGTTTAATGATTTCGTTGGAGGATTTCGTTGACACAATTTGTTCGTGGTGCCACTGGATTTAACACTAGATCCAGGAGAAATCGATGACTTGCAGTAAATGCATTTACGTTTATGCGTAAAATGGTGCACCTGCGTCGGACACATCTCTTTATTGCCGCGGGTGAGCTACGAGGAAATATAGTGTGCAGGCTGCGTGGTTATGCTGCGCGTAATATAAATTTATTACGTGAATTTTATCCGAACATGTCCTGTGGACATTCTTTCTATATTTCACATGAAAATTTTCGAATATATATTACAGGTGAAAGGAAAAGAAAAATTTACTAATTTCTCACGAGATTTGAGAACTCAACACTGAAAAACCATTATGTTGAAAAAATCGGAAGGTATTAATTTTCATTTGGCAGGCCGTTAGGTAGGCGGATGCACGGGTGAAGGGTAAAGTGGTTGGTCATAAATACACGTGTAAATATATTGCGGCTGTAACATGGCTCGCTGTTAAATTGTGCAGTATGGATGTACCCGAAACTGCCATTTGCCCACGGGGTAAATCATTAAATCGCCACGTGTAAAAGTCTGGCTAATAGGAATCGTGTGTAATTTGTAAGCATTAAAAATTTTATACTATTTACTGGAGTGAGAAAATTTTTCGGCATTCGATTTCAACTCTTGCACCTAGCAATTACCATTCTTCTGAATTCTTGCTCGACGTTCAAATACTTTTTGGCCAATCGATGCAAAAAAATAAAGTGGAGAAAAATAAGAGGGAAGTAGGCAGTCTGTCTCTTAAAATTGCGTCAAGTATTGTCACCGCCGGAAAATGCCGAATGCTTCTGGGACGAACAACGGACAAAGATTGTGAAATCTGAAAAAAAAAAAACCAAGTCGAAGGTTTCCAATAACGGCAAGAAAGAGCCGATGTCTCACTGGCCACAAAACCATATATTGCCTACCAATAAACCAATTAAAGCGACAGGAAGCAACGCCAAGGCTTTCTAACCAGACTGCCCGGAGATTTCAGTAGCTCATGTCAGTGATGTTTCAGCCTCCCAAGTAAAGTAAGTGTACTGCACTCCGTGCTCATCAATGTTGCGTGAATATTCAAGTGAAACGGTCATAGCCCAAGAAATTTCAAATAATATGATGTATAAAAGGTCTGCAGTTGGGTTTTGCATAACTCGGTACCGAATTCCTCCGTGCTTACTGTTTACATTTGGGATTGCTCGTCGATGGCTGCCTTTATAGTTTATGACACTCGTAAACTGGGCTTTGAGCGATAATCTCAGCGCAAAGAGAGGGACAGAGCGAGAGGTATACCAAATGCACCACTATTTCTTGTTGTCGTAAGTACGTGTCTGCATAGTGATTCTGGAGTTAGAGGTACCCCTGAGATTCCTCTCGGTGTCCCAAGTGGCCAATTACCTTTGGTTATGTCCATACCTTTGGAATGTGAATAAGTCCTGTCTTGAGAGTTTGGGGAATGTACAGGTTATATGATTCTTATTTCATCAGCTGAGCGACGGAAGGGGAGAAGGAGATTCATGTGCTCAATGATAGGGTAAAACGAGCAATGGTGTGCCATTTCAATGAGTTGCTCATTGCGTCGTATCCTATCCTATAATCACACCCTTAGAGTCACTTTACAATGAAACATTATTGTCATAGTCATAATATCCTTTGTTACCACGAAGAAAGATTGCAC